GAAATGGAAAAGAACAACTGTATAAGTTTTATTTCCTTAATACAGACGCTTAGAACTCAAAAAGGATTTCAGAGATTCTATGAACATCTCTTAATTTAGAGGGGGGGGCCCATTTTTAACCATTTCAATGTTAATTTTTGCCTTAATTTTAATTTTTTGGCTTACAACCTAAGTATTTCCATTTCCAGAGTACCTTTAACTTCTCCCAGGTGAACGGAAGTGGATGATCCACTTTACAGTTGGCAAATTTGCCTTCAAGGCTTTACAGGACACTCTTACTCAGCTCGGTTAAGTGGCTTCCTCCTGTTGATTCTGCTTTTCCTTCGGTCAGTAAACAATGTGCTGTGCAGGAAAGGCCTCAGAAATTCCTAACAATTATTTCCCCCTCTTCCCACAATTAGGGAGCAGAGAGAGGAGAGAGAGGAGAGAAAAATACACAGTTCTGCTTAGACTGTCACTTTGCATCAGTCTGAGAGGGAACACATATTCCTGGCCTGAAAGGGGCTGCCGGGAATAATTAAGCACGGGGCTAAGAGTGAACCTGGGAAACATTCCAGGTTTTCACAAGTCAGGTCTTCACTGTGCAATCTCTAACATAACAAAAAAAATCTTTTTTACAAGAATATATGGTCATTCATTTTAAAATCATGTACATGTACTGTACTTATACATTACACATACTATAAAACACCCAAAAGACAAATGTTAAGTTCACGTGATAAACAGGGTGACCAAATGATTTCTTTTCCAAACAGTGTCTCTTTTTAGAACAAAAGGGGCTGCTATCAATAATTATATTGAGACAACTGTTGCAAATTGGAACTCCCCAAGGCAAAGCCGAATGGAGGAAATGTCTAACAAAGAAGATTAAATTAAAAATATTTCAAATGTCTTACTAATCATACAGGCTTTATACTATTATCAGGTAATATCTCAAAACACAATATACACTAGGGGCTAAATTCACCATTAACTATAAGAATATTAATCTATATTTCAAGTAGATATTTTGATCTTACAGCTTTCACCTTACTGTTTAGTAAGTCTGACTATATCATCATCATTTTTCTTTTGCTTATAATTGAGACTAAAGAAGAGTTTCTGTAAGAATTAAAATGGTTATCTCTGCTACTTTTTATTTTGCTTTGTGTTCTTGTTTTTGCAAAAAAAAATATTTTATAGTCTCCACTTTGTTAGTTTAATTATTGCTAGGAAACATAATAAATAATAAAATCCATAAACCTACTTACCAGGGACATTTACTGTATGTTTGTTCCCCTTTGTGGAACTTTAATTCTTACCTCAAAGTACCAGATATTAATAACATGAGACAATCTGACATTTGGACAAAATAAAAATGCCAGTGTGAATATAATTTAACACATATGTAAAGTTTTATTTACTTTATAGGGTTATTTTTTGTTTGTTTATTTATTTTGAGACACAGAGAGACAGAGAGAGAGAGAGAGAGGGAGAGGGAACACCTGAGCAAGCACAAGTGGGGGAGGGAGAGAGAAAGGAAGAGAAAGAATCCCAAGCAGGCTCCACACTGTCAGTGCAGAGCCCAATACAGTGATCAATCTCATGACGGTGAGATCATGACCTGAGCTGAAATCATGAGTCAGATGCTTAACTGACCGAGCCATCCAGGTGCCCCTACTTTGTAGTTTTAGAAGAAAACTACTATGAATAATAGTTCCAATCTTTCTGAATTCCAATAGCATGTGTCTTCTGTACTGCTTGGGATGCACATACCTACATTAAAGCTGGTAATCTAGAACAGTGCTTCATCAACTGTCATGTGCATACAAGTATCTGAAGTTCTTAGGAAAATACAGATTTTGATTTAGTTGATCTGGACTGTGGCCAAGGATTCTATATTTCTACCAACTTCCCAAGTGTTGCTGGTCTAAGGACCACACTTTAAGTAGCAAGACCCCTAGACCTAGACTCTGTTTAACACAGTATCCACTAGGCACATGTGACTATTGAGCATTTGAAATGGAGCTAATCTAAGATTGAGAATGACTATGTAATTCTGAAATGTAAAATAAATACCAGATTTCAAAGGCAGTATAAAAAAGAATGTAAAATAATTAATTAACACTGTTTTTAATGTTTATTTTTTGAGAGAGAGAGAGAGAGAGAGAGAGAGAGAGAGAGAGAACAGAGTATGAGTCAGAGAGAGGCAGGGAGAGAGGGAGACACAGAATTTCAAGCAGGCTCCAGGCTCTGACCTGTCAGCATACAGCCCGACATGGGGCTGGAACTCACAAACCACGAGATCATGACCTGAGCTGAAGTCAGATGCTTAACCAACTGAGCCACCCAGGTGCCCAAGTTCATTAATAATTTTAACACTAATGATAAGAAGTAACAATTTTGGCCCTAATTGTGTATCAGTGGGTTTTTTAAAATTTTTTTTAATGTTTATTTATTTTTGAGACAGAGAGTGACAGAGCATGAACGGGGGAGGGTCAGAAAGAGAGGGAGACACAGAATCCGAAGCAGGCTCCAGGCTCTGAGCTGTCCTCAAACAGCCCGACGTGGGGCTCGAACCCACGAACCAAGAGACCATGACTTGGCTGAAGTCGGACGCTCAACTGACTGAGCCACCCAGACGCCCCACATATCAGTGGTTTTTAATGTAGAGTATACATATATTCATGATTTTTAATATGAATACTAGAAAATTTTAAATTATTTGTGTAGTTCACATCATATTTCCATTGGATGCTGTAGCTCAAGATCACAAAACTAAGTCCTGATCATGTAAAGTAATAGTGAAAACCTTCAATGCTTCATTAATATTTCCAGATTTGTCTTTTGCCACTCCCCATTCCATGCCCAAAGTCTCAGCTATATGATGTGATTTAGCATTCATTCATAATCTCTTCTTTCATTTACTTGTTTATTCAGTATTGGATGTCTACAGTGAACCAGGCAACACTAGTAAGTAATGAGAGAAAATAATAGATATGGCCTGGCTTCACTGAACATATTATCTCTAACTTTTCTTATTTCAAAGAGGAAAATTCCTCTAATCTCTTACATCACTCTCTCTCTCTTTCTCTTTATTTTTTGAAAGTACTTGCTGGCTCATTAAAGCTATATTTCTATAGTGTTTTCCATGTATTTCACATAAAGCATTCCCTGTTATGTTTAATATATACTGTATTAACTGTATGTTTTTCCAAATACAGATTATTAATTGTTTGATGGTATGTTTTAATAATCTTATTTTCCATTGAAAGCACAATTTCCAGTATACAATAGGTAATTAGGAAACAAATTTTTGAGTGGATTCATTATTTCACAAGTAAGATGGTAAGATTTTTAAACATCAGTCACTTCCACAATCTAATGTAATTTAATTTTTTTTTGATTTATTTATTTTTGATAGACAGAGAGAGACAGACCACAAGTGGGGGAGGTGCAGAGAGAGAAGGAGGCACAGAATCAGAAGCAGGCTCCAGGCTCTGAGCTGTCAGCACAGAGCCCGACAGGGGTGGGGGGGGAGGTGCTCGAACTCACAAACTGCGAAGATCGTGACCTGAGCCGAAGTCGGATGCTTAACCGACTGAGCCACCCAGGCACCCCAATCTAATTTTATTTATTTATTTATTTATTTATTTATTTATTTATTTTAACATTTATTTATTTTTGGGACAGAGAGAGACAGAGCATGAACGGGGAGGGGCAGAGAGAGAGGGAGACACAGAATCGGAAACAGGCTCCAGGCTCTGAGCCATCAGCCCAGAGCCTGACGTGGGGCTCGAACTCACGGACCGCGAGATCTTGACCTGGCTGAAGTTGGACGTTTAACCAACTGCGCCACCCAGGCGCCCCCCCAATCTAATTTTAAAAATCAATGATTAATTTAATTTCACTGCCATTTGCCATGGTTCACTCTAGCCCTCCTTCTGTTATAAATATCTTATGTAGCAATGTACTGTCAAGCTCAGCAGATTTAAAATCAATTCAGCAAAATTTGAGCCGTACTTGATGATCGTATTAGACTTTCAGCAATTAATTTAATCTTCTTGAAAACTGATCTTCTCATTAGTGACATGGTTTTTAATTACTACTGCATGTTTTTGTTGAAAAGATTGAAAGATTCAAATCATGAAATAGTGCCCAGTTTGTAGTAATGCTTCAATAAATATGAAATCTAACTGGTTAAGTCTTAGTCATTTTATTTCCTTTTTAGTAACTAAATGTAAAATAATGTTTGGTAGGCAAAGCCTTAGACTGCCTTCACGTTGTGGCTAAAATGTATAGATTTACATTCACATAAACATGCTGCTTTGTCAGGTAGTATCATTGCCTTCTACCTCAATTATTTCATGTGTAAAATGAGGGGATTGGAAAAATTACATCTTTCTACAGTTAAAAGTCAATGAATATTTGGAGATGATGATAAAGTCTTGAAATAAATTAGCAAAACAAAACTTTTTAATTATTTTATTTCTTTTTTTCCTTCCCCTTTTCTCATTTCAGTCCAAAAGTCATTGCACAGCCACAACTAATAATAGACTAAAATCGAATCTATTCTATAGATCTTACGGACATTAAAAAGATACTAAAGGAATACCATGAACAACTTTATGCCCACACATTTTAAAACCTAGATGAAATGAGAAAATTCCTCAAAAGGTATAATTTACCAAAGATCACACAAGAAATGTACTGTGTGAAAGGGCCATGTTAAAGAAATTTAATCAATAACTAATAAATTTCTAAAACAGAAAGCACCAGGCCCAAATGGATTCCATCATGACTTCTATTAAACTTTTAAGGAAGAAATTATACCAGTTTTCTATAATCTCTTTCACAGGATACAAGCAGAAGGAATACTTCCTAAGTCATCCTATGAGTCCAGCATTTCCTTAATACCAAACTAGACAAAAAATTACAAGTAAATAATATTCATAGATGCAAAAATCTTCAACAAAATAATAGCAAATCAAATCCAACAAGGTATAAAATAAATTACATACCACAATCCAGTGAAAATTACTCCAGGTACGCAAGGCTGATTCAACATTCAAAAATCAATCAGTGTAATCCATCACATAAACAGGCTAAAGAAGAAAAACAACATGGTTGTGTCCATAGATGCAAAATAAGCCTTTGTCAAAATCCAACATCCATTCATGATAAAAGACAAAAACAAAACAAAACAAAAAGCTTTCAGTAAATTAGGAAGAGTGGGGAACTTCTTCAATGTAATATAGAATTTGTAGAAAAAAATTACAGTGAACATCATACTTAGTGGTGAGAAATTCAAAGTTTTATCTATATAGCAAATCCAAAAAAATCAACAAGAAAACTCCTGGAACTAAAAAGTTATAGCAAAGTTGCAGGATACAAGATTAATAAACAAAAGTCAATCTTTTTCCTTTATACCAACGAACAAGTGGAATTTGAAATTAAACACAATATCATTTAGCACCAAGTGAAATGAAATACTTAGATATAAATCTAATGAAGTTCGTACAATATCTGAGAAAAACTACAAAACTCTGATGAATGAAATCAAAGAAGAACTAAATAAGTGAAGAGATATTCTATATTCATGGAGAAGTAGACTCAATATTGTCAGGATGTCAGTGGATCTACAAACTCAATTGAATCCCAGTCAAAATCCCAGCAATTTATTTTGCAGATATAAAACTGATTCTAAAGTTTATATAGGGAGGCAAAAGACCCAGAAAAGCTAACACAATATTGAAGGAGAATAACTAAGATGGAGGCCTGACACTACCTGATTTTAAGTCTTACTATAAAACTATAGTAACCAAGGGGCTCCTGGGTGACTCAGTTGGTTAAGTGTTCAACTCTTGACTTTGGCTCAGGTCATGATCTCACAGTTCATGAGATCAAGGTCCTTGTTTGGCTCTGTGCTGACAGAGCAGAGCCTGCTTGGGATTCTCTTTATCACTCTCTCTCTCTCTCTCTCTCTCTCTCTCCCCCCCCCCCGCGCGCGCGTGCGCTCTCTCTCTCTCTCTCTCTTAAACAAAAATAAACTTGAAAAAAAAGCTACAATAATCAAGACAGTGTGGTATTGGTAAAATAATAGACAAACAGATGGATGAAATAGAACAGATAGCCCTCCTTACATATGGTCAACTGACTTTTGACAAAGGACGCAAAGCAATACAATGAAGAAAAGATTATCTTTTCAATAAGTGGGGCTGGATTAACCTGACTTCCACATACTCAAAGATGAATTCAGACCAGAATTTACCTGCTTTACAAAAATTAACTGAAAATAGGTCAGAGCCTTAAGTGTAAAAGGCAATGTATAATCCCCTAGAAAATAACACAGGAGCAAACCTAGATGACCTTGGGTATGGCGATTACTTTTTAGACAAAACACCAAAGGTATGATCTTGGTGACTCAGCTATGAACTTTGTAACATATGTTCCACTATGGTGGGGGATGCTGATAATGGGAGAGGCTTTCAATGTATGTGGGGGATGGGAGGTACATGAGAGATCTCTGTACCTTCCCTTCAGTTTCACTGTGAATCTAAAACTTTCCCAAAAAACCAAATTCTTAAAATATTTGACTCTATCAGTATGAAGTCATGTAATATGGAGACATAAATCTAGTTATAGTGTGGACCGAAAGCTGTGTATGTGCATGCATGTGTGTGAATATATCTATTTCTTAGTTCTTTCTGTCCACATAGAGGGACTATGAGTAGCAAAACTCCAATAACAGGAATTACACCTGTCACTCAGATCTTGATTTCTACAGGGAAAGGAACCAGGGCTCCTTGAAGAAAGAGCTAATTTCTGGGCTGCAGCAGAGAAAGTCCTAGAACATTGTGTTGTCCCATTAAGTAACAAAATACTTAAAGAGTGATTTGGACATGTCAAAATGATAGAGGATCTAGCTAAAAGAACTCTCACTGGCCAATTCCAGAAAATTATAGAAATGATTATAATGCACTGAATAAAACTGAATCCATTAGTTCACACTGATATAAACAAATGAATAAATGAATTGGGAGAAGATAACTAATCTTTTGTACAGTAGAATGTCAAGTAATAGATTCATTGGTATAAATAAAATTAGGAAACAGTCATCAATTATCAAAGTAATAATATAGGCAAGAAATAACAATGGTTTCTAAAATTAACAAGCAAAGTGGGATAAGAAAAAGAATATTCATTTAGTCTCAAAGTATCTTTCTGCAAAATACTATTGATCACAAAGAACAAAAGAAATGTAACTTTTTTTTAAAATATTTTTTTAAAGTTTTTATTTATTTTTGAGACAGAGAGAGACAGAGCATGAGCAGGGGAGGGGCAGAGAGAGAGGGAGACACAGAATCTGAAGCAAGCTCCAGGCTCTGAGCTGTCAGCACAGAGCCTGACACGGGGCTTGAACTCACAGACTGTGAGATCATGACCTGAGCTGAAGTCGGATGCTTAACTGACTGAGCCACCCAGGCACCCCAAGAAATGTAACTTTGTAGTGGAGAAACCTGGCAGAGACCACCCTAATCAAGTATTTACCTATAATGGGACATGTCAATAGCATATACTAAATGATAAGATGCAAAAAGGGAGACATCATGCCTGTGGATTCCCATCCAAAATACATAACTTAGGGATTGTCTTGAAGAAACAGTGGACAATCTTGCATTAAGGGACATTCTACAAAATGAATGCCTTGCATATCTTCAAAAATGTCAAGGTTGTGAACGTAAAGGAAAGACTGAGGAACTGCTCGCATTGGAGGAGTTAAGAGTGATGTGACCACTGAGTGCAAGGGATCATGCTGGACAGACTCGGGTGTGATAGATAAGTGCCTGCACTATTGGCAAAAGTGAATAGTGGGTGAAGGGCACATGGCTATTCTTTGTAGTATTTTTGCCATTTTTTGGTAAGTTTGCATTTGTTTTCAAATAAAATTAATTTTAATAAAAAGAGGAAAGCAGGGGCACCTGGGTGGCTCATTCAGTTAGGTGTCTGACTCTTGGTTTTGATTTTGGCTCAGTTATGAGCTCACGGTTCTGGGATTAAGCCCTGTGTTGGGCTCCTCATGGAGCATACAGCCTGCTTCGGATTTTCTCTCTCTCTCTCTCTCTCTCTCTCTCTCTCTCTCTCTCTCTCTCTCTGACACACACACACACACACACACAATAAACTTAAAAAAAAGATGAAAGCAAAACAAAGCAGAGCAAAGTGGGTTTTTTGGACACAGTAAATGTTAATAAACATTTTTTGCACATAGTCAAATGTATCAGAATTTGAAGCCAGTGTGCTCACAGTGAATGTGTGATATTGACCTGCTGCATAACACTCTTAATGCTCCTATTTTTCTCTTTCTTGTGTTGATGAGTAACCTTAAATTTATGTAGCTTATTCCTAATAAAGATCATGTCAGTATTGTCTGACCTTCCAATCTATGTAGATATTCTTTGCTACATATATTCGAGGACATTGTGTGTATAGTCCATCAGCACAAATCACACTGTCTTGAGCTCAGGTACAAGCTCCTTGGGGGAAGGAAGCTTATTGTAAAAGATCACTATATCACTGCAATGAATATTGGAGATAAAGTTAGAGTACGTCCAGATTATGAGCTATGTATTTTTATCAATGTAAAAGTAACACTTGTCCTATTTAATCTTTTTCATTAAAATGTCTATACAGAAATACTAAAATTGTACTCATTTTCTTCTCATTTTAATGACCAGGTAGAGTTTCACCCATAATTTGGCTTCTAATTTTTCTGTTAAAATTTACAAATTTCCATAATATCATGTTTTAGGCATTTCCTCTTTCAAGCAGCCTATCACTGAGTTTAGTTTTTTTTTTTTAACCCCAAATAAGAGAATGTATCTTTAAGATGGATTTTTCCCATTTTACAACTATAACTGATATACTTCTTTCTCCTTTTCTTTAACCTGATGACTCCTTGACATCCCTTTTATTACCGTATGTGGATTATGTTGAATTTGATCTTAAATTCATTGCAATGTAAGAAAACACATGTTATGTTTAAAATTTGCCAGTGAATGTTCCTAAATGTTTCAAAAGCACTTTTTAACCACTGTCATTGTCTCTAATTGTTTAAAGTTTTGTTTCTTGGATAATTCAATTCTTATACAAGGACTATATTCTATTTCCTTCCTGACTTCTCCATTAATATAAGACTCCGACTGGAAGGGTGAGATGGGTATAATGATCATCCATAGAAGTCTGTGGTGCTAAATGGGAAGGCTAGCCCTTGGGTGACCACATAGAGAAAATGGGGAAGTCTGGAGAGAATGCTAAGCATGGTGCATTGCTACTCTCAGAGAGTCACAGGGCAGTTGTGTGGAAGTCAGTTAAGATCTGGAGTTAGTGTGTGACTAACTAATTGGGCATCACACATGAGCTATTCTTGGGTAGGACTGGATAAGAACAGCCTATTCCCTGCTCCAAGAAAACAGGGGAAGACAATTTAGTTCATGAACAAAAGCCTGGGTTTCTCACATTAAAAAGACATTTTTATCCATTTGTTCCAACTTGAAATAATTATCAATTTCCCATAGGCTTTATTATTAAACAATATAATGTAGGTTTTAAAAGAACAGACTTAGTTGCCACATTTAGTAGGTTTGAATCCCAAGTCTAGTTGACTAGCTATAAAACCTTCAGTACTTTACATAACTTCTGACCTCAATTTCTTCAGATGAAAATGAGGATAATTTATGGATCACAATAAAATATTTTCAAAGATAAACTGAATCACTACATACGACTATGTTTGACTGACATAATAAGAACTAAGAAATGTTCACTGTTGTTATTACAGTTCTCTTTGATATTATTGTGACATTTTCTTTTGTATCTCCATGGATTAGTAAAAGAACAGAGAGGTTGCCATTAGGCTGCTCCCCAGGAGACTTATTAAGGTGTAATTTCTTGACTATTCATTTCTTTTTTTTTTTTTTTTTAGTTTTTTTTTTATTTTGGGGGGGAAGAGAGAGAGAGAGAGAGAGAGAGAGAGAGAGAGAATGAGTAGGGAATGGGCAGAGAGAGAGAGAGGAAGAGAAAGAATACCAAGCAGGCTCTGTGC